CATATATATACATATATATATACATATATATATATACATATATATATACATATATATATATACATATATATACACATATATATATATATATATATATATACATATACATATATATATATACATATATATATACATACCAACGCGAGAACAAATTAAACCCACAAACTCAGTACAAGGAAACGCGCTGTCTTCTTCGGACACGCGTTCAGTAGGACTGAGTTATGTTCTAGTTCTGGACTGTGGTCGGTAGAAAAATGAAGGCATTATTACCGAGAAAGAAAAAAAGCAAAGCTTGAGAATCACACTCACCAACATTATAACCCCCCACGTGCTCAACACGATCCCACACGCGGCGAGTTTTGGTCCACAAATCAACCCACGCATGATTAAACTCTGTTCTGTGGCAGAAGAAAGTTGACTTGCTGGTCCGACATCGGTCACTTGTTCGGTCATGTGACTGTGACGGAACACCCCGGAAGTGTCCGGGATGTACAGAGCTGAGCATTACTCAGTTACTTTAAAAACTTTCCTTTCTTTTTTTAATAAAGTTAATTACTGACTTAAACATAAAAGCAAATATTGTATTTAAATATGCCGAATTATGTATATTTGATTTGATGCACGCTGAATTAAACACAATTAATTATACGAGGATATAAATGCTCCGATTAGACTTTTATAACGATTATTGGTGTCGGAAAGTAACCGCGCGTGCTCTTTGAGACGTTTTAGTAAAGTCATTAACCTAAATTGTCTGGATGTAAAAGAAAACATCACGTGACCTTCCTATCACTGATGCTGCATTCACGTAATATCGGTAGAATGGGGAGAAAAGGAAACATCCCTGTTTATTAAAGCATTATTTCAAAGTAGTTAGGTACACCTTGTGGTCACGTCACACTTGGTTAATAGCCTAAATATCTACTTTTGTTATGTTGCAATTAGTTCCCAAGTAAATCCAGATACCAACTGTGTGTATCTGCTGTACAAGTAGCTGAATGTGTTACATTAGTGTTTAATATTTTACGCTATTTGGATGTAACTGCCGGTGGTGGTGCATTTTGCCTGCTCGTATTTACCGGTTTAAACGACACGACGAGGACATGAAGTCCACACGCTATATTAATGTACCGTCGGAATTACTAAAATATTCAGCCCACACAGACCACTTTCATTATTTTATTTTCTTTCCGTTGTTGCTCTGTGTACTGACTTTTCAAACGCATTGTTGTTATTTGCTCCCATGTGTTTAAGTTGCAAGTAAAGTAAAAGTGTATTACCAGGAAGTTGTCCTTGAACAGCTGTCAAATAAGTAAATACCTGTTCTGAACAAGGGCAACTTTCATGTCGTCTACAAGATGTAATGGTCTGGGACAACATGGTGTTGTTTCTACTGTTCCATATGTCTAATTCTGTAAAGCTGGTGCCAAAAACAAATCCCAAGATGATGATATCATTGTATTATAGTTTGATATATAAGAGTAATATGAAAACACAGCCGCAGATTCTTGTCGCACGCGCATGGGATTTAAACACTATAATCATTTTTATAATTTCTGCAAACCACCAGATGTCACTGTGCTGCGTGCTGAGTTCAATGCCTCCAAATGTTCCGTCTTTTAGAAAGTCCCAAAGGCTTTCAAAAACACAAGATTATTATTTGAAACCACTTGAATGTACATATAAATATCAATGTATTTCTACTGAATGCAAACAGGTCCTTGCAGTACTCTCATGTTTATTTGTGTAACGTCATAATTTCATTCATTCACTGCCGATAGTTTTCTCCCTTTTTGTACATTTCTAAATGGTACTGTCTGTATATTGAGTGTGCCACTGTTTGACTTCCCTCACCCACCTTTACATTCTATCATAATGTCTCAAACATGGGGCGCGATAAAGAATATCACTAGGCCTGGAGATTACGAGGTGACAGTGAAGGCGGCACTCTCCTTGTGGTTATATTGAGTGACCTGACCCGTTTGTCTCCTGTCACAACGTTTTCACAGCAGATACGAAACTTTAAATGCACAATGCAGCGTTTGGTTCAAAAGGTGGACTTCTCCGGGCACCGACACTGAAAGCGGCGGAAGAGCAGATTTGTAGAAACCCAGCTACATCAGGAGGAGCACCACATGCTAACTTTCCTAGCTAGCTACACTGTTAGCATCTTAGCAGCTGTTCCGTCCACTTGAAGGCATCACTGAGGCTACTACACACTCTATAAAGACTAAACACAGTCTATGGTACCACGGAGACCGGCAACATGACCTCAGCTTCCACTAAAGTAAGTATTTTACACACGAACTACAGAGAAGTAGTTTTGCCGCAGCCGGTAGCCAGGTTGGAATTGTATTCAGCTATAGTCTATTGCTTGCTACGTACACAAACACAGCCCCTCGCTGTGTTTCCCGCCACTGCAAGGTAACATAACAGTGGGTTAAAGGTCACCTCACCGTTGAGATATGGATTCAGGGAAGTCAGACACTTTGATCGGTTCTTTGGAAAACGCTTGTAGTTTTCAAGTTGGTGCAGTCCCAGTTTCCATACAGCTTCTTTGTAAACTGTAAATGCAAGACTGTGTGTGTGTGTGTGTGTGTGTGTGTGTGTGTGTGTGTGCGCGCGCGCGTGCGCGCGCGCCCACCCTGTCTGTGTCTGAAGGCGAGCAAATCCCTGCAGCCAGCCTTCAACATCTCAACATCCAGGCAGCCTGAAACCAGAATAGCGGAGGATGTTTTAATAGCAGCACATTAATACATATAGAACTTGGTCACGTATGGCTGTATTGTGCATTTTTTGACATACTTTAGTTCATGTAGTGAATCCCTCACACTGCCTATTGTTAGCACACGTCTTCATGTGATCCCTGTGGAATGATGCATACTCCTAGGAGGCGACCTCTGGTTCTGAAGAGTGAAGCCGGTGCGGAAATGTCTTAAAACTTGCATTCTCTCTAATGTCCACCAGGGGGCGACTCCTCTGGTTGTATCGAAGTCTATGAGAAAATGATACTAATTCTCTCTTTATTTATTACCTCAGTAAACATGAGTTTATGGTCTCAATCTCTAGTTTCAAGTCTTCAATACAGCATGATGTTCATTTAGTAAATGATGGTCCATTTAGAGTCAAACAGACCATAAAGCAGGGTATGCTTTAGGGCGGGTTTACTGTGATTGACAGGTCGCTGCCGCCACCAGAGCCGTATACGCTACTTCAATCCTCCACATTCCAAATATGGCAACTTTTCTTCATCGGTTGAGACACGTATTTCAATACGGCGAAATCGCCAAATTTGAGGTTTCATAACATCAGTCCACAAACCTATGGGTGACATCACGATGACTACGTGCACTTGTTATATACAGTCTATGCTCCATGGAACTCGCATTACCAGACACTGTTTCCAGTGTTTAATGCTAAAGTGTGTGTTCCACAGGTTGGGGAGATCTTCTCCGCAGCTGGAGCTGCCTTCACCAAACTAGGAGAGCTCACCATGCAGCTTCACCCAGTGGCGGACTCCAGCCCTGCAGGGTAACACACACCCCAAATACTCATACATATTAACGGTGAATGAAGGGTTTAACCCATGTGGATGCTCCTCTTAACTTGGTGTGAATACTAAAGTCAGTTTAGTTCCCATCCTCCCTCCAGCGGTCAGACCAAGAGCACCGTGAAGAGGAAGCTATATGAAGACGGGGCTCTGCCCGCCTCCTCGGACGGGCCCAAGAAGGTCATCAAGAAAACCACTGTTGCCATGGCGACGAAAGGCACTCCGACCATCGTCTCTGTGCCCAAAGCTCAGGTTGTCATGGCATCAGGACTACAGGGTTCCCCCTCCAGGCAGCCCACGCTGAAGAAACAGAAGACCGCAGGTGAGTCGGGAAAACTGCAACATAAAACGTATTCTGTTGTGAATGTTCCAGTTACTTCTTCATCAAACCTGACAATCAAACAACAACGTAGAATCCACACACTGTTTATTTTACTCCTGGGAGAACGTTGTTGATCAGTAATCGATCTCCATCGGGCACAAAATATTTCCACAAGCGTCATATTATCTCAAAATGATAACATGTTTGAACTTGCTTAAAGGTGCAAATGTAGAGCATATCTGTGATTGAGGGACGGCCTCCTCAACATGGGGGCGGCTGAGCCGACGGCTGGCGGCTAACGGCGCTAACAGTGCAACCAACCGCAACAGTGCTGACAGTGTTAACCGGAAGGGGAAGTCGGGGGGGGGGGGGGGGGGGGGGTGGTGTTCGGGATGTCGTTATCAGCTGTAACCTCCGTAAGAAAGCAGTGAATGGCGGTGACAGCTAGCTAGCCAGTACATGCACACACGGCCTGGCTATGTAAACAAAGTACAGAGAAGCTCAGATTACAACACACACAGAGGGAGGGTGACTTCATTTTATGCTCAGGTAGACATTACTCCACCATACTTTTACATAGCAAATAGTTGTTTGATGCTAAATAAATGCTCTTAATGTTGAATTTAGCATCTTTAACGGTCAGCTAGGGCTGGGTGGTATACCGGTTTTAATTTCCCATATGATATGAATTTTTCATATACCGTCATACCGGTGCACAGCCGAAACAACTTCTGTCGCTCTTCAACAGGCAGCAAAATATATTGTTCGCCGCTGAGAGCGCTACGGTTGGAGCTACTTGTCTTAAGTGTATTGAGAAGGAACCCTAGTCATGGTCATAACTTTATAACAACAATTAACAACCCACAACTAACGCTCATTAACAGGGGCAAAACACACATAAACAATTTGTAATACTAATAATTGTACATTTATAAAATTTCACCGCCGAACTGCATGCTGGGTACAGCTCGCTAACAACAGTCTGCTAACAGCTGGGAGAGGCTCTGTCG